TTTTTCATCGACACCAAAACTCTCTTTTATCTGGTTGACTCGTCTGTCCGCAATGAAAGCTTTGCGAGACCCTTGTGTCCATACTACGCTTTTATCGCCCTTCAGGAGAGTGTCTTAGGATGTACTCATCAAACAAGCGGCCAAAAGCTTTACACCATATTGTTGTAACCTTTTATCATCTTATATATGTGTCCTTCTAATCAGGGTGACTAGCCTGCAATATAATTCCGGAAGTAAATACTAGTATGTCGTACTTACTCAAAGATGCGCACCCCCGCAAACGCGCTTCCTTCGAATTAGGAAGGTGCGAACAAAGGGGAGATTGAGCAGGGAGTGGCGTAATTTACGTTGTCACTTTGGTGAGCACTACGGCCATTACCAGTACCGATTGCATTATAAACAGATTTATTTGTTTTATCCTATTGATATTTTTGTTTCTGACAGCTTTAAGACGACAGAATGGCGCGCATGACGTGAACACAGACGGTGAACCGGGTAGTAAGTATCAAGGCGACTACAATCTTAATGCTGGGCAGAACTCTGTATACCATGCACCAAATACCGGGAAGCACTCCTACGAGTTGGGATCTTTCCCTAACGGAGGATATGCTGGTTAAGCGGTTAAGAGTGTAGAATATGTATCAATTAAAAAAAAAAACCATATTGTTATTATCCGTATGGCAAATAATGTTAAGGTAAAATATTCTTAAAAAAATAAATTAATTAATTAAAAAAAGCTGGTAATATGACGATCCTAGTGCCAGTATTTCGTGTAATTATTATTGTTAGTATTGTAGGCAGTGTAAGCATTGTTAGTCGAGCAAGTTTCTGTGAGTTGCAACGCGAGTTTTTTGAGTGATATCTGTATTGTATGTAATTGTAAGTGAAGTAAGTATTGTTAGTAGGGTAAGTACTGTAAACCATGTGAGTTTTTTAAGTAATGTTAATATTGTGTGTAATCGTTAGTAGTTTAAGTAGTACTGTAGTGTGTAGAGGAAGTATTGTAAGTAGTTTGAATTCTGTAAGTTGAAAATCATGGAAGAAAAAACAAAAGAGTGTAGAGGATTATGTTCATGAATAGCCTTTTCCAAGCCCTCAGTCAAAGGAGACGAGTGAAACAGTGAACGCACGACTAATGGAAGATTCTGTTGTAAGGACAACGGCTGCCTAACTCCACGACCCCCACCCCCCACCACGTTCTTATTATTCGTGCGTTAGTTGTTTTGCTCAGACCATGAACTGAGAGATTGGTCACAAGCTGGATTATGAAGAAATAAGGAAGGAAGCACAGCTTAGGGATAGAATAGAAATATTTTTACTATCAGCTATCACAATCCATTAGCACAGATTACAAAGGGATACAGATAAGAGACTTTGATAATTTAAACTGTACGTAGTCTCCAGTTTTTCAATAATAATCAGGGAGTAAAACAAACTCAAAATCCATAACAGTATTTAAGGTTTGGAATTCGCTTTTTTTAGTAGAAACACAATGCGCTTTAATGTGTTTTGGGGACGAGATATTGTCCTCTCTTGAACTTTAAAAAAAAAAAAAGCAAACAAACAAACAAAAAAAAACAACAACACAACAAAACGAAGAAAAATAATAAAAATAAAAATGGAATACTGGGCTAATTGTCATTTGCGGCGATCCGAAAGGTTTCTTGAAAGTTGTTGCCTCTTTCATGATTAACATTCACGGAGTGACTTGGTGAGATATGTCTAATCGAAGAGCGAACAAGAAGACTTAAGTACAAACTGTAGCACGCTTTTTTGTCTATAATTAATATTTGCATTTTAGGTATAATTATTTTTGTAACTAAACGTTCTCTCTGAATGTTATTGGCACCAAGATCATTATGGATCTGCGAATTGTTTCGAGTCAAAAGCCGCTTATATAATTATCTTCACTCGTTTGGTAATTTAATTAGCTTTAGCTTAATTTTTACGGTGAGCACTTTTGAAGAACGCTGTTATCGCACGCTATAAGTAGCAGATAGGCAACGCGCGTGCGGTTTTCTCGCACGCACGTGACTCTTAATGCTCTTTTGAGTGTGTGCACAGGCTTGCAGTTATGGAGTGACTTAAACCGACTTGTGTAAGTTCGTCTGATAATAAAAGCAATACCCGCATTTTATAAAATTATTGCGTTGCAGCTTTTACAAAAGATCTTGTTAACGTTTCCGGTAGAATTTGATTGAATCCGTGAGCGTCAAGTAAAACTATGTACGGGTTTATTGTGGGAATTCGATCAATACGTCTTGCTTCCGTGTGGAACCGAAACTATCAAGTGTCAAGAACAGCGATTTTAGGGTATGACTAAGTGAGGACTTTCGTCACCTAAAAAACTGGCGTTATTTTGGAATTTCTGTGGCACTATGCCGTTAGTATTAAAATTTGTTTTTATTTTGACTGTTTCGCTTTGATTTTCGTCAACTATGACGGATTTCCTTTGTATTTTGACGTAAATAATAAATCTCCTGGTTTTCATTTCCTTTCTATCAAAATAGTAACATAATCATCGTGTTAAGAGACTTAGTGGGGAGGGGGAGGAGAGAAGGCAAGCAAGATTCCTCCCCTCCCCTCTAATTTCTCGCATCTTTTTTTCTTTCACTTCTTTCATTTAAACTCTCGCAGTAGAAATATCCAAAGGAAACCCCTTTTGTCGAAAGGATCCCTCAAGTTGCGTCGACCTCTTAGTACATACCATCAAGTTACAGCTGAAGAACTGAAATTGTCACAGACTCGTCAATGACGTCAAGGTCACGCTAACTTTATTCGGTCTGTTGCCTCTGTGCTTGCTTCCATATTTCCGCAGTTAAATACGAAATAGAACTGACTTATGTTGCTCTGTTGATTTCGACCTCGTCGATTCCTCAGCGTGAAGAAGATCAAGCTTCGTTAAAATAGAACAAGAAGTTTGAATACCATCATGATTTCAGCCTGGATCTTGATTACATTTTGTGGTGAGTGAGAGTTCTTTCATGCGAATGATTAATGCGCAATTTTCACTTCACTGATCATACGTGCAACAAAGGAATCTAAAAGTTACATCTGCTTACTCTTACAGGCCAGAGGTTTGAATTATCATTCTGTTCTTGACTTTGCTCTGTCTACCGACTTTTAATGCGCAGTTTCGAAATGCGAATTTAATGTCATGTAACTTGATCTTCTTCCGTGCATCGTTCTTTCTTCATTGCTGTCTTCTTCGCTCGGGTTCGCTCAGTGTTCGCGGTCCCACTTTTTTTATCGATTAAGTGGATACCTTTCAAAGGAGGTTCTTAATTCAACATGTTACAGTTTTCAAGGAAGGGAGATAATTCTTGTAAAATCGTGCGAGACAAGTTAAATGCCAATTCATGTCCATTGAGGAATTCGAACCTGCATGGTAATTGATCGTTCGCTGAATAGGTTTAGACATGAACAAAGGTACTTTGCATTCTTAGGCTACTTTATTTCAAGGAACAAATGGTTTTATATTGTCACATGCAAATGGAGATTGATTCTCACACTCAAATAGACAGAAAACGTGAACTCGATGAAAAAGATATTTCTGACACGAGAGGAAGTTAACATAAGCAATTGATGATATAAGATAATGACAACGCCAGCGAGTATATATCAACATTTTAACCTGACTGCACATTCTTTGAAAAAAGCGATTCGCGTGTGAAGTTTTGCCACAGGTGAATTTTATGTCACAATTGTTTATTTGTACACCAGGAGCCATGAATATGAAAAATTTCTGATAATACTGGAGTCAGTAAAATTCGAAACCGAGACAATTTCACCTACGGTTCGTTCGCTCAACTCGGATTCTGGCAAGGTGTTATTTACGACATTGGAATTTTGTTTTACAATTAAGATTCGCTCTTTTACGTTTGTTTCTTGTATGATATCAACAATTATACCAAGATATTTTCAAACGGTTATACAAATACTTTTTTCCGCTCACATAAATAACTCCGAAAGTGACAAGTCTTTCTAGCGGAATACGAGGTTTTATATTTTAATATGGAGGATTTTAAAGGTACATAGTTCACGTTCGCGGGCGGATGACTCAGAAGAAGAGGTCTACAAGTTGCTGATGGATTTTAAAGCTTGGTCAATGAGTAGAAAGTTACGGTCGCTGATTTTGCCTCGTGTAAAAAAAATTGACCATCAAACCCAGCACTTTTTTTAGATCTTACGTATGCAGTAGGTAACAATAAGTTTATGTCAATGGTGTTCAGTCTGATTTTCATCCTGTCTTCTCCGGTGTACTTTAAGGTTCCGTATTAGGAGCTCTACTATTTCTTATCTATATCAATGTTATCCCTAAGTCAACTACTTACTTTTCTAGTAGATTATATGCAGATGATACATCTCTAAGAACCTCTGGAACCAACCTCGACATTCAATTAAATGACATGAATAACCAACTACATGCTGTTTATTAATAGTTATGTAGTAACAAATTAACCTCAAATCTTTCCAAAACTAAATATAATATATAGATTTAGCCAAGCCTAAAGCGGAGCTCGCATTTTTTTTCCCGCACGTCTCAAGAGCACAATGCTTTGCCCCGGCCAGGACTAGGATCCGGGTCGTCCGACTCGGAGCCCAGTGGCGTTGGCGTGCCCGCGGTACAGTTGACCACGCATGTTAAAAGTAGCACCTTGTACGGACGCCTGTACGGTGTCAAGTCCAATTGATCAACACACTTAGATGCATTTATTATTCTCTTACTTATCCATATGCTACGCATGACTGTGCACACTGGGGAAATAATTATAATGATCCACTTTCTGAAGTAGTAAAATTATAAAACAAAGGGGTTCGCATTATCAGTGATGTTCCTCTAATAGAACCGATTACTCCTTGTTATACTGCTTTGGGACTTTTGAAAGTTCCTGATATTGTCAAATTCAATGCATCTTTACTTCTTTATGACTATTTTAATGCTGACAAACATTCATACATGTCCAATACATTCAAACTTAAATCTCAGGAAATTTTGTCTAACAATCATTGATAGGTATATCTAGAACAATATTCCTTAACCTATTAAAGAAAAACCAACGAAACAAATGTTTAAAAAACCACTTTCCCATTGCTATCTAAATCAATATTAATTTTTCATGTCCTTCATCTTCTGTCTTCCTCTTTGATCAAAGCTGTGTTATTTAGGCCAAGTTTAGTAAATAACTTTTCATATTAGATTAAGGAGGCACTATATTAGGTATCTGGACGTGCCCTTCTCCTCTCTTCTCTAATATCTAAATGTTCAAAATTAGAATTGACCAGTAGTTATTACCTTGTTTATTATGTAACTTAACTTACTACTACTTGGGGTAGAGAAATAAATGGGGGGGGGGGGGGATTTGAATAAATCGATATTCAAAAGTTCATGCCTAGGGGGATGCCCAGGGGGATGTTGAAGCTTCCAAAGAACGGCTTAGCTTAAAATCTTGCAAGAATTGATGTCTCACACTCACACATAAAAATTTAATCAGTTTGCCTCAGATCAGTTTAAGCGGGCGTTTAAGCGGCTCAGAAAATACGAGATATTAACAAGTTAAAAATCAGCTCAGAATTCGTTGGTATAAATAGAACTATCGCAGCTTAGGGAGTTTTCTATGCTGTCCACTTTTGCTCAGATGACCTCAAACTTTTAGCATTTGTGATGAACTGTTTTTACTGCTTACGTTGAGACACATGTTAACGTGTTCGTTTTTTTTATTTGTTGCAGTTGCCTCCCTGACTCTGGTGACAAGTGATCGTAAGTATAAATATTCGTCTTACATGTTTCCATTTTAATCCACAGGTTTGGTCTTTGTTTAAGTCAACTGAAATTCTCATTCTTAGAAAAGATATGGTAACAAAAGTGCTAGTTTGAAACACATTTAAATTTCTATTTTGCTAGAATTCTTTTGTTTGGAGTAAGAAACCAAAAGAGTAACTGAAAGATACCTTTTTTGCAGCCTGCAGCCCTCCTGGAGAGTCCATTAATGCTACTAGTGGTCATATTTCCAGCCCCAATTTTCCCAACAACTATGACGCAAATAGGATTTGTACCTGGAATATCACGGTGCCCAGTGGGAAAATCATCAAACTGACCTTCTTGAACTTTACCCTGGTAGCAGGTGAAAACGATGACTGTGCTGGTGCGGCAGCAGATAGTGCCCGAGTCTTTATCACAAACGTTGCCTCTCATGGAGGAAAACCTAACGACTTTAAGATCTGTGGTCAAAAGCTTCCCCCTCCTGTGTACTCAGAGGGAAATTTCATTCAAGTGAGATTTGAATCTCGCACCGGCTCTGTAAACAAAGGGTTCAATGCAACCTTTGAGGCGATAGATGGAGATTCATGTAAGAACTTTTCTTCTATGGTAGTTTATTAACTGGAAGCATACAATTGTACTGAGCACGTACCCCTATTAAACTGAGTGAGAATTATGTTGAATATATCATGCAAATAATAACGTAAGCAATCTTTGAACAGCTCTAGCCTGCAGAAAAAAAATTACATATAGTCAAGCCTTTTACTCGAACGCAAGCTGCTATGTTTCACAATCGTTATATTGATTAAATTATATAACCGTCAACATACGGAAAATGAACTGTAGGCGTTATTAAAAATCATCCAGTTGACCACAGTGGACTGTAAACCTCATCAAACAGTTCTCGGAGAAAAAGAAGCTTCGTTAAGATTTTTCTTTGAATAAATTAAGTTTTTTACAGTAAGTAAGATGCATTTTACTAAAGCTGGCAGTCTTTGTTATTCTTATCAGTGTGCCCAGCAGATATGATCCTCGATGAAACATCAGGCTCTCTCTCCTCTCCCTTTAATCCAAGAAACTATCCATTCAACCAGACATGTAGCTGGAATATTACAGGGAAACAAGGATACCGTGTTGAGCTCACAATACCAGACTATAATCTTCAACGTTGTGGTGGCACTGCTTGCTTGTGTGATTATTTGGAAGTTCAGAATAGCTTCAGTGATAAAGCGCTACCTGGAAAACTATGTGGCACACCAAGGGCTCCTCCTGTAAAATTTTATTCACTGCACGAAAGCTTGAGGGTGGTGTTTGTGTCCGATGATAAAAACATGGATTATGACGGATTTGAGGCAACTTACAAGCTGTTGAACCACAGTCCTCCAAGTAAGTAGAGAAAAAAACTTCGTAAGATCTAAGAGTTCACTGAGAGAAGATGTTTCATGCAATAAACTCACCCATACAAGTAATGATACGGAGCTTAGTTAATAAGAGTGGAGGCTCTCTCTGTTATCAACTCAGCGTGAATGCAAACATCTCTGATGTAGAGTGTAAGCGGTGATGTGCTGGAAGCCATGCCAACCTTAATTGAATAAAGGGGGTAAGTTTCCAAAGAAAGTGTGATGAGGCGTCGGTCGGGGAGTATAAGAGGATAGTTTGGTTTCATTAACTAAGTTGATAATGTAAATTGGTCACCGTGATGAGTTTCAAGTATTCATATTCTTACCTTGAGGCCACTCCCTTATAAAGCCATATTGGAATTTATCGCTGTAAAGGGTATGGTTTTAAGCCGCTTTGGTTTGTATAGACTTTGACCATTGGTCGAATCAACAGTCATATGGTAAGCATTTTGATTGGTTGTTATTTATCACCTATTGGAGAACAGAGGCATGACATGACCATGACCATGACATCACCATTTACAACAATTTCCTTCTTCATCGTATATGAAACAATTAGATTCCACATTGCCGTGTGTCTGTTCAGGAAGATATACCAGATGATGTCAAACTGTGGTCATTAGTGACACTCGGCTTCGCCTCGTGTGCCACTTTCTTGTTCTTACCGTGTGGATTTGACGGAATCTGTGTAAGAAACCATATATCTAACACCAATCCATGTTTATTCTGGCCTATTCCAAGAGTTCTAGTTAGTCAAACAGAGCGAAACAGACAGAGGCAAAATAGTAGTGGCGTAGTAAAAAAGAGAGTGAGGTTTGGATCTAGTCGGGAAAAGAAGAAGTTGATTAAACAACAGTACATGACCCACTCTTCCCTCGTTTTTTCACTCCTCTGCTACTCTCTCGCTGTTCAATGTGGCATTGCGTTTTACCAACTAAATTCCCGGAACAGCCTATGCTTATTCTCCCACACTCATATACTCATTTTTCGTTGTTTACAGTTTGTCCCAAGCAAGCAATTACTCTCTCAGGCAGCGGCAAAATAAGCAGCACAAACTACCCAAAGGGTAACTACACTGCGTTCAGAAATTGTACTTGGAACATAACCGCGTCAGCTAACGAAAGCATACAGTTTGTGTTTACTGACTTTGTCTTAAGTGAGTGTTCAGCCAATTCTTCGGATTCAAGTTGTTCTTATGTGAAGCTTTATGATGGTGGGTCAACAAGTTCGCCCTCGCTGGGACGATTTGGCCAGGGGTCATCTTGGAATGAGCCTTGGTTCTCGTCTGGAAACCAAATGTTTGTGATGTTCCATCCTGGACAAACAGTTGATCGTGGATTTGAAGCAGAATATACTACTACTCCCAAAACAACAACATCACCGCCTACAACAAAAACAGCAGCAACAAGTGAATCGGAAACGACAAATGAATCAGAAACGACAAGTGAATCGGAAACGACAAGTGAATCGGAAACGACAAGTGAATCGGAAACGACAAACAAATCGGAAACGATAAACAAATCGGGAATGAAAAGCGGTAAATACCCTATGAATTTTCTTTGCAATGAATATTCAAAATTAATCAATGCTTTTTGTTATAAGAAAGTTAAACTTCTACGACCGACTTCCCTTATGATTCCTTATCGCTGAAGGTATCGTTTGTATTTTTTGCTCTTTCAGTTACTGGTTCCAATCAAAAGATAATGTGTTAGCCTGCTTGTAAAAGCTAATAAATACTTTTAACAATAGTTAACAATTATTCACCGAAGTGGATGTGAATAGTGGTGGATATTTACCGAGCCGAAGAGTGGCGAAGTGAATATCCACAACTTTTACCGACACTGACAGAGGTAAATAATTATTATTAATTTTTTTACCATAAACCACACAGATAGCAAAAAATTAAGTTTACTACTTACAATATACTGAAAAATGGTCGGAAATTAATTACTTTAGCTAACCGGTTGTTAGGAGGTGAGTGTCACTTGCTATTCAAAACCGAACCAGCCAATTGGGGTGCGAAAAGCACTTTTCACTTGTTTGGTATTAATACTACTAAACTTGAAAACAATTCATAAGAGGATAAAAAGTAGTTACCTTTTTTAAAAGCTTTAGAAAGCAAATATGAATTATTTGAATAAAATAGCTGATCTTTCGCCAAACGTGCCCTAACCCATAAAACGAACTCCATGTAGATAAGTTCGTCCGGCAGGCTGACAATCAGTTCTTCCAAATATTTCGGTGGTGCGGGAAATCCACGGGTTGGGGGTGGGGTTTGTTAATGCCGTTCTCTTGTAGTCCCGGTTTGATAATGAATTTTTTGGGTCTCTGAGTTGACAAATTACCTAACTGATTGAAATTATTAGATGATGTTTTTCATCTAAATATCTTTGTCAATCAATGATCATCAAAGGCGATTATTAACTTAAGCAATTCTTTAAGATTTTCTAACTGTCACAATTAATTGTAGAGTCAAGGAAATCCTTATCGGAAGGTGCCAAGGCAGTAATAGCAGTGGTTGTTGTGATCGTTGGTCTTCTTATCTTAGTTGGGATTTTTTATTGCCTTCGTTACGGTGAGTCCACTCGCTTTTTTTTCATGAAGGTAAAGGGTGTTGTTCTTTGGCTTTCTACCAGTGTGTTATGGACTCGCGAGGAGACCATGAATGTTCGAAACCGTTAAGACTTGTTATCGGGAAGTTGAAAGTTGAGACCAATTTAGGGTTGACAAAATTTGTCTCAACTAACCAATGCGGGCGCACTGAAAAACAGCAAAATATTTGTTTATCACTAAATGTCAATCACAGGGATATTCAAATTGAACAGCACTTGAACCTGGGGTAAACCTAAAATTCATGGAAGCTATAATAGTTGTATTCTGAGTATCTTGAGTACTGATCGTTATGCTGCATCCCGAGGTACAAATCCTCTACCTTCACTATTTGATTGCCGCATAAAAAATGAAATATATTTGGCGGCCTTCTGCCTGAAAGCTCACATTTCAAAAGCGAGCTCAAATTTTGTTGATTTGCGTATTCCTTCAAATCGTGGCTTGTAAATTAATAAAATCTGTCCGATTTCACGCCTGACAAAAATTTGTCTTGCTCCGAGGCAAGACGACCGCGCCTTTGAAGATTGGTAAGGCTTGACAAAACTTGGCAGAACAAAAACAAGCAAAAATTTTCTTAGTGCTTCTTGGCACTTACTCTCTGAGTAAGGAACTGGCGGGTTACGCTCTTTTGCCCCTCGGGAGAGCATTTTGAGATTAGCTTATTAAACATGCGGCGAGCAAGCTACTTATCAACTTGTTACGAAAACCAAGTTTGATTGATAGCAACCAAAATGTCACCTTTCCAACCATGTGACTGCACAAGGAGAGTGGCAAGGGAGTGGCTTAATGTACGTAATCACTTTGGGGAGCTCGTCTGATTAGATACTTAGGTGATACCCATACTCTCAAAAATATTAATTTAATGTCTACATACTTCTTTTCCTTATCATCATGCCATTTTTGTTTCTAATAGGTCAAAGAAGACGCAGGGCCGAGTTTAAGGTGACCACAGAGAACTGTACTGTACTGAAACCGATGAACCAAGGCGACTCCAATGCCAGTCAAATCCCTGCGTATCATACACCTAATAACGAGAAAACAGTCTCATGAGTTACAATCTTGGGAGGGATGTGCCAGTTGAGCATGTAGAAGATTGTTTTTATGAATAACCTTTTCCAGGCTCTCAGTCAGGGAAGACGAGCGAAAGAACAGAAGAATGTCACCTTTAACTCATTTTCATTAACTGAGAGAATGGAACTAGCTAGATTATTGAATAATAGGGAAGTTAGCACAGTTTAGGGTCAGGTTAAAAGAAGATCATTTGCAACTATGGCTAAAGATCTCCCATAGTTTTAAAGGTTAAGTATGATCAGCGTTTCTTAGTGAAAATGAGATGCACTTTAATATGCTTAAAAAGACGTGAAATCAAATAATTTTATAATTTAATTTTGAAAAACGGGGAATCGATAGATTAACCTATATTTGAGGCTAGTTCAATCCGTGAAGTGATTGAGATGTAGTTACCTCTATTTTTAAACCTCCTCACTCGTGGTGATTATTGCGAGATATGACGCCATTCCCGAAAAATGAAAGCGCGAAATGATCACCCAAGCCAATGATTGCTCTAAAAAGAGATAAACACTAGATTGGTTTACAAGAATTGAAGATAAGAAGCGCTTGCTATGCTATAATTGTTAATTTTAAACATTTGCTAATTCTATTGTATTAACTAATGAAAACTTTTTTACCTTTTACTGTCAGTGACTAAACGTTTTTTGTGAAGGTTGTAGGTATCCTCTGGTCTACAAACAGATTCCAAGTTACCGAGCGTTAGTTCACTAATAGATAACAGAAGACGTCAAAATGCAGTAAGATAGAAAAAAAGTGGCTGATGAGACGTCTTCTTTGATCTATTACTGAACAAGCGCATGGCAACGTAATGTGCAGTGTAGGCGTCCTTTAAGGGCGAGCTAACGTTTTAAGCTCGCGATCGTTTTGAATCGTTTATCCGACCGGCCATGTTTGATTTGGAGTTAGAGTGGACAATGGGGGTAAGGGGCAGGGGAAGGGTGAGAAAGGTGATCTTCACTCCCCTACCCCCTTCCTTATTTTTGACCGTTGACCGTCGACCGCCTCCTTGGTGCAAATTTCTTTTTCTCCCGAGCGTTCCGCTGCCGTTAAAAACAAAGATGGCGGTCGTAAAAATACTGAGCACTCGCCCGTCAAAATTACGCTTGCTCTCCGGGCTAAAGTAACATGGAATCTATTTGTTAAATAGATATAACCTGTACCCAGTGTAACAAGTCATGAGATTTACTATTTTTTTGTTATTTTTTTGGATGGAATTTGATCGTATCTTTAGTTATTTAGTAAGGATTGACGTCAACATGCCCACCGGAACCGGTTTGTTTTAATAAATAGATCATGCTTCTATGACATGATTGTCTGAGCATTTCTCTCTCTTTCTGTAACTTAAGTTATCCGGCAACCAACAGTACATAGGAAGGGCTATTGTTTTCAGCACATGTTTTGGTTACAAGCCTTCTCCTGAATGGATTGAAACATGTGATCCGGAAAAACTTCCGTCTTACGAATTTATTGTAAATATGGTTTTGCGATACACAATTTTTAAGAGTTTCAGGACTCCATACGTTGCGTAAGTATTATAAATATGTAAATTCAAATTAATCGGATGTTCAATATACTTTC